GTGTGCAGTATCCACAGCAGAACCAAAGGGAAATCAGATGAGGCCGTTGGCACACCAAGGAACCAGCCAAAATCCAGTTGCCTGGCTCAGGGAGGGTTACAATTTTCCAGGTGATGACCCAAACCAAAGCTGAGCAGGGTCCAGAGGTGTCCTGGGGAAGAAGAACCCCCCTGCAGGGCCCAGCAGCACCAGCAGTGCCACAGTTAAACTGGGGAGAGGTCACTGGAGTTTCTTGGTCCACTTCAATTACCTGAGAGCAGAATTCAGGCCTTGCTCTAAATCCCATTTTAAGCTGCTCAAGCAAGGTTTCCAATTTAAGATTTGCATTTAATGCCAGTCAGAGGCAGGCTGCTTCCAACACACAACTACACCACGCACAGAGGGGGGGGGGAAAAACCCCCAGGGAATCCCCCCCAAACTCTCTGCTGCCCGTTTCAGGTGCCAGGGGCACGTGGGCAGGGTTGTGTAAGCAGAGGCAGCTCTGCTGCAGCTTGGCACAGGGGCACAGGGAGCCCACGGGTCAGGGCTGGGCACAGAGGGGGGGGGAAGGCAGCTGGGTTTGAAGCCAACAGCCCGGGGGTAGGACTGTCCCCTCGGTGTGTGTGTGTGTGATTCCTGCACAGGATGAACTCTCCCCCCAGGGCAGGGCTGGTTGTGTAACTCCAGCCTGGCTCCCTGCAGATGGCACGTCCCCCAGGGGAGCCCAGGGAGCCCCACACCCAGCCCTGGGGGGCTGGGTGGGGTGCCCAGCTCCTGCCCAGGGACTACCACACCCCTCTGAAGGGCTCAGGGCTCTGCAGCTGCCCTCAACCCCAACCCCCAAGTGCTGAGCCCCGGCCCCAGGGAGCAGCAGCCACATGAATGGTCTGTGGACTGGATTGAACAAACCAGCAGTGACAGCACCAGCCCCACCCCACGGGACTGCTCATTTCTGTGTTCCCATTTCTCTGCCCTGCCAGCACCTGGCCAGGCTGTCAGGGGTCTCCTGGGAGCAGCAGTGCTCAGGCAGCAGGGACAAAAGGACTGCACAGCCAGCAAGCACCCAGCCAAACAGCTCCATGCAAGGGGCCCAGAGCCCAAGGGTGGGGAGGAGCAGCTGAGGGAGCTGGGGGTGCTGAGCCTGGAGCAAAGGAGGCTCAGGGGAGACCTTCTGGCTCTGCACAGCTCCTGACAGGAGCCTGGAGCCAGGGGGGGGTCGGGCTCTGCTCCCAAGGAACAAGGGACAGGACAAGAGGAAATGGCCTCAAGTTGCCCCAGGGGAGGTTGAGGTTGTCCCTGAGGAACAATTTCTTGCCCTGGAGGGTTGCCCAGGGCTGTGCCAGGCTGCCCAGGGCAGTGGTGGAGTCCCCACCCCTGGAGGGGTTTCCAAGCCATGGAGATGTGGGGTGAGGGACACGGGGCAGTGGGGACCTGGCAGTGCTGGGGAAGGGTTGGACTCCAGGAGCTTAAAGGTCTTTTCCAACCAAAATTATTCTATCCAATGAAAAATGAGATTCCAAGGGCTGAGGGTGATACTTTCCCAACCCAGGTTCTTTCCCAAGCTCCAGCAGCTCTGTCTGGCCAGGAGAAACCCCTAGTAACAGCTTCTGTTTACAGACAGCTTCACCATGCAGGAAACACCTCCCAGTGCTCCAGTGTCACTGGTTAATGACACTGTCAACTACTCCATGTCCCCGGGGGTCCTTCCAGCCCTCGTGTCACCACCCACGCCTCAGGATCAGGACCAAGGCACCAAGCTGAGGGGAGCAGGGAGGGGGATTCTGCCAGAACAGAGCTCAGCTCAGTGTGATCACCACTGTCCTGTGAGCTTCCTTCCTGAGCAGATGCAGGGCTACAAACCCAGAGGCTGGAGCCCATCCCCACAGCTCTGGGCAGCTGCAGCTCACACCAAAGGGAAGTCCTGCCTCGGGCAAGGAAGTGAAACAAGACAGACCCAGAAGACAGCCCCACGTGTCTCAGAGGTGACAGCAAAGGGAGCAGCTTTGTCTGAGCCCAGCCAGACCCACCACCCCACTGGGTGCCAGCTCAGGGAGCCCCGGGGTGCCCTGTGCCAGGCAGGGAGGAGCTCCCAGCACTGCCTGCAGACATCCCACCACGCAGCACAGAGGGAGAACTGGCAGCTCCTCCTTTGGAGGTCCCCAAAGCTGATGTCAGGGGGTGCTCCCAGGTCTCTGCCATGCACCAGCCCCATCTCAGGCACGGGTGAGGACCTCTGAGCAGGGCTCCTGCCCAGCCCTGCCAGGCCTACAAGGCAGCAGTAGGACATGCAGCTGCTCATTCTGTCTCCCACCTCTATTTTTGCAGTAGAACAGGTAGAAAAAAACCCCTCTGAAGCAGTGCTCTGATGAGTCACTATAGAAATAGCTCGGGGAACATAAAAGACTCCATTGTGTCACTCCAAAGTGCATTATCAGGCTGGTACAGCAGACAGAACACCACAAAAACCTGCAGATCACTCACCCAGCTGCAAAGCACGGCGGTGCCCTGCCCTGAATTTAAGCAGCACATGTAACCTGGTCCATCCTGGTTTCCAGCTCAAAGGCATCGGGTCGATCCTGCGGGTTAGCAGCCAACATGTCTTTCAAGAGCTGCTTGATCCCCTCCGACATGGAAGTCCTGCGCTTCTGAGGGATGTGCAGCTCCATCTTTGGGTTTTCTAGCAGCGCTTCCCCCACGGGCACGATCTCAGTGCCCTGCTTGATGTAGGTGCCCAGCAGCTCCCTCTTGGTCTCGGCGTCGATGAAGGTGATCCTCTCGATCATGGCCCAGATGATGATGCCGAGGGCGAAGATGTCAGCCTTGGCTGTGTAGTGCCCCTCCCAGACCTCGGGGGCCATGTAGAAGTCAGAGCCACAGGCCGAGGAGAGCCAGTACTTGTTGACATTGACAGTCCTGCCCTCCTGCCCTCCTTCCTTGCCCCGGGCGGTGAGGCCGGCGCAGACTTTGCTGAGCCCGAAGTCGGCCACCTTCAGCACGGGGGTGCCCGACTTCTCGGTGATGAGGATGTTGTCTGGCTTCAGGTCCCGGTGGACGATGTGGTTCTTGTGGAGGAAGGCGATGGCGCTGGTCAGCTGCAGCATGAAGCTCCTGTTGGTGGCGGGGTCGGGCCTGCGGGACAGCACGTACTGGTTGAGGTCCCCCCCCTCGCAGAACTCCATCACGAACCACAGGTAGCACGGCTCCTCCGCGTGGCCCAGGATCCTCTCACCTGCCAGAGGGGACAGGAGACACCTTACAGAACTAACTCGCTGTGCTCACCCCCCAGAGGCAAGGAATGGGGCTGGTTTAGGTGGATTTTAGGAGTGTGGCCAGGAACTGTGAGGCTGCAGGGTGGTGCTGGCACTGCTGAGGCTCCGAGTGCCACACACCAGCACCACATTTATCTGAGCCCATGGAATCCTTTAGGTAGGAAGAGACCTCCAAGATCATCAAGTCCAACCATCAAGCCAACACTACTAAGTCCTCTACCAAAACAGATCAGAATCTGTCAGGGCTGGAAGGGACCCCAAGGATCCCCCAGTTCCAACCCCTCTGCCATGAGCAGGGACACCTCCCACTAGATCAGGCTGCCCAGAGCCTCCTCCAGCCTGGCCTTAAAGACCCCCAGGGATGGGGCCTCAACCCTCTCCCTGGGCAACCCATTCCAGGGTCTCACCACTCTCCTGGGGAAGAACTTCTTCCTCACATCCAGCCTGAATCTGCCCACTGCCAGCTTTGCCCCATTCCCCCATGTCCTGTTGTTACTTGATAGCCTAAAAAGTCCCTCCCCAGCTTTCTTGTAGCCCCCCTAAGATACTGGAAGGCCACAATAAGGTCCCCTGGGAGCCTTCTCTTCTCCAGACTGAACAGCCCCAACTCTCTCATCACCCAGAAGCCAGCCTGGGGACCTGTTCCCAGCCAAGCACAGGAGTGTGAGGGACACTAAGCACACCTTGTCTCAGGTGCTCACAGAGAAGTTAGAAGCAGAGGGTTATGTTCCTGTGCTGCCATCAGGCAGCTCTCCCCAGGCTCTGACAGCCAAAGCAGCAGAGACTAAAAGCACAACTAGCAGCAAGTCTACAGGAGAAATATCAGAGCCAACATCATCTCTTCTCAGACTAAACTTGAGCTCTTCAAGCTCAAGAGTGTCTCAGGTCTCATTGGTCACATCAAGTTTTTACTCCACAACCCCCCTGCCGAGGAAAACCACTCTGCAAACAAACCAGACACGTGGAGAATGCACCAGCACCACACCAGTTAACAGGGCCAGGTCTGCCACCAGCACTCCCCAGGGCAAACCTGGCCCCCTTCACCAACCCAGGATGCAAACCCTGCTGCCAGACCCCACGTCACCTGCCCAGAGCACCCAGGTGACAGGCAGAGCCCGTGCACACGACCAGGGCATGGTTTTGCTCTAGAAATAGGTGGTTTTTTACCTTCAAGGCCCATAAGGGACAAGCTGGAGGATGCCACTCACCTCTGCCACAGTGACCAAGTGACACAGATGAACCCTGGGTATTTTGAAAGCAGTTAAATAACTCCACCCCTTCGACAGAGTTGGGGTTTGTTTTCTTCCCCCAGAGTATCTGGGAAAGCCAATTTCCAGCAGCAGGTAAAGCCAAGGACTCCCAGGGGCAGCAGGCAGCCGTGCCTGTGATGGTCAGTGCCTGGTGTGGGTGGGAATATTGGTTATTTGCACAAACAGTCTGTAGCCATGGCTACTGCTATGGCAATGGAAGTCTGCACAACAGAAGGATCTGGCTGCACCCCCCTGCCCTCAGCAGGAGAAGAGGGTTAGTTCTGGACAGTGGGAGGGACTGTGAGCAGGCTGGGTGCACTTTGAGGGGTCAAAGGAGACCCTTGGAGCACTGGAGGGGGGCTTGGACATGTAACCCCAAGGGCCTGCCGGGAGCAGCACAGGAGAGCTTGGCTCTGGAGACCAAAACACTGCCCAGGAAGAAGAGTGCAAGCCACCCCCTGGTGAGGAAACTCCAGCAAAACCTGCTTGCCCTGGGAGCAGGGAGCTTGCAGGGCCAGGACAGCCCAGCCCAGGCTGAGGTTTGTTTGTAGCATAACCAAGGCTCTGATTTCAAACTTGGCCCCTGACCCTCGGCGAGCACAGGGAGGACGCTGCTGGTCCAGCAGTAGCTGTGAGCACTGTGTGCCCCACTTTGGGTGGGGTGCTGCTGGGAGAGGCTCCAGCCAAGAGTAAGATTTCCTCATTTTCTAGAATCTGAATGCATTTTAGTTGTTATATCATCTCCCTGCCTTCAAAACAAACAGCTTTAAAGATCAAGAGCTGGCGAGCGGCTTCCCGAAGATGAGACGTGAGGGAGCTGAAGGGATGAGGGGCCAGGTCTGGTCTCCATCACAAAGATCCTGCCCAAACACAGCAGAGCACCCCCACACCTCTCCATCCCTGCCTGGGGAGCTCGTTAACAGCTGCCTCATTTGCTTACCATCACAGGGGAAAAGAATCCTCCAGCAGAAGCAGCACCTCGGCCCCCACCACTGCCTGGAACCTCGAGTCCCTCTGGGCAGAGGTGCTTGGGCTGATGCCACAGAAGGCCACGAGTGAGGCTGAGCACTGGTGGCAATTTGGGAGGCCCTACAGGTGACCTGCCAGGAAGCAACACCTTCTACCTGCTCACAACCTGGCTCTGTCAGCTCCATGGGTGAGGCACAGGAGGGGCATGGGGCCGAGCACAAGCCCTGAAGGTGCCCATGTTTTGGGGCACATTATGTGCCTCTCCTCTGGGTTCACTGCTGGGCTTCTGGCTTCCTTTTTGCACTCTGCCCTAAAACTTATTATTCTACATAGAATTGCAGAATCATTCAGGTTGGAAAAGACTTTCAAGATTGAGTCCAGCTGTTCCCCCAGCACTGCCAGGTCCCCACTGCCCCGTGTCCCTCACACCACATCTCCACGGCTTGGGAACCCCTCCAGGGGTGGGGACTCCACCACTGCCCTGGGCAGCCTGGCACAGCCCTGGGCAACCCTCCAGGGCAAGAAATTGTTCCTCAGGGACAACCTCAACCTCCCCTGGGGCAACTTGAGGCCGTTGCCTCTTGTCCTGTCCCTTGTCCCTTGGGAGCAGAGCCCGACCCCCCCCTGGCTCCAGGCTCCTGTCAGGAGCTGTGCAGAGCCAGAAGGTCTCCCCGGAGCCTCCTTTGCTCCAGGCTCAGCACCCCCAGCTCCCTCAGCTGCTCCTCCCCACACTTGGCCTCTAGACCCTTCCCCAGCAGCTTCATTCCCCTTCTCTGGCCACTCTCCATCCCCTGGAGCTCCTTCTCCTAACCAGGACAGCTCGTTAAAGTGATGAGGGTTCATGCTCCACGCTCTAGCTGAGCCCCAGCATCGCCTGGGATCCTGACAGTTGTCTGCTGCTAATCCCCCCCCGCGTTGGCACAGCATCTGTGTGCCCGTAAATAGCCCAGCTGCGGTCGTGCCGAGTGGCACGGCACCACCCCAGCCATGGCACACGGCTGCCCACGAGGGACAGCAGCCTGGGGGCTCCTCCAGAGGCAGCTCTGGGCTTGGAAATGGTTATCAGAGCTGCAGCAGACCCAGAGCTCCAGGAGCACAGCCCCCGCCCCAGCCTGCCGCCAGGGCAGGCAGGAGGAAGGCAGATGGAGGAGAACGTGCCCACCCTGGTTTGGGGAGCAAAGCTGCTGCTCTCCACCCCTGGGATGGAGCACCCAGCTCTCCTCCCCTCCTTTAGGCTGCAGCAGGACTGGGGAAGGCAAAGCCCTCCCCCACGGCAGGGAATCTGGGGGCTCCCTCCCCTCTTGCCCAGCGCCCCAAGACCTTTCCCCGAGCTGTGCCACCTCTTCTCAGAGCATCCACGGGGACAGGACCCCCCCCCAGCCACCAGGACGAGCTGGGCTGGCTCACAGCTGGACACACAGCCCAGCTGGCACCTCTCCCGTGGAGCTGTGCCCCGGGGAGCACGTCAAGGAAGCACCCAGCTGCACAGAAACCAGGACACTGCCCTCCTCGGGGAGGCTCCCGGGCGGCTGGGCGAAGGGCAAGCAGGATCAGGTCTGTGTGGGGCAGAGCCAGGCAGGCCCGGGCATGTCCCCCCCGGAGCACAGAGGGGACAGGCAGGGCAGGGGCAGCCCGAGAGCCTGGGGGGTGCCCCCAGGATGGGTCTCAGCAGCCCTGCACGGGGGTTGGAGGCTGCCTGCACTGAGCTGGGGGGCTCAGCTGGGGGGCACTGGGAGACCGAGCTCCTCAAGGAGCAGAGGAGAGTCCTGGCACACGGGTTTGGGGAAGGGGGGCTGGGAGGAGCTGGCCCTGGCAGGCTGAGGGGCATCGAGGATACAGGGCTCCAGTATTTTTCCACCTCTTTGGTGCACGTTGGCAGAGCTGGGTCTGAGCAGCAGCCAAGGGAGCAGAGGGAGGGAGCGTTTCGGAGATGTCACCATCCAATCATCAGCTGTGACAGGAGGTGACCCCTGAGAGCCCCGTGATGCTGCCGAGGGGCTCGTCAGCCCAGGCCACGGGCACCGGTGGCTGCAGGGCTGTCCCCACAGAGCCAGCACTAGGGGGGGGACACGTGGACAGGAGGGCACACAGAACAGTCCCAAAGCTGCAGGAGCTGGAGGGGGCAGGCAGGGCACCGCCACGGGCTGCAGCCTTGGGGGGGTCAGAGGGGACTGGACTCCGAGGAGGAGAGCAGGGAGATGTCCCCGTGGTGTGACAGGGACACAGACCAGTGGAGGTCCCCAGGGGGGGTGTGTGTGGGCTGTGGTACAGGTCAGGGGAGCAGAGGGAGCCCCAGGAGGGGGTGTAAAGGAGGAGGATGAGGCAAGTGCTGGCAGAGGGTGCAGGGAAGGGCTGAGGACAGCACAGAGGATGCTCCCCAGGGCTGGGGCTGAGCCTGGAGAGGACAGCAGAGCCCCTCAGGCGGCTGGGCGCT